GAAGGGAATAAGGAGAAAATTGAGAGAATAAGGAAAGCATTGTTTTTACTTTTACATATTACAAAATTAAAATATAGGATTTAGGTGGACCTGTGAGGTTACACACTCATGCACAGTAGGTGGCGGTATGCACCTAAAAGTTGTTTGCGATCCGCCATTAATTCAAAAGAAGAAGAAGAAGAACACAACATAGCCCTAATCGCTTTCCGTAGTTTTGACTTGACTCATCGAAGAGTCCGCTCCGGGTTTTGTGGGTGAATCTGGTCCGGGTCTTCCAAGTGTTTTATGGTCTTTATCATCATCAACTGTGTGTTGCTCGGGGAGGAGAGGCGGGTAAATGTAAACATTGATCAGGCACAGTGAGACTTTAGCTTTAGCCTTTTAGCTCGTCGTTAAACCTCCTGTTGTTCTCTGTAATGAGGACGTTTTCACAGCTGCTTTAGTTTGTGCCGAACACCATTTTTTCGTTGCATTTTGGCCTCAGCAGTTTGTAATAAAGACGAGCTAACCCACCAACAACAGTTAGCTAGCTAAGTTAGCTAGCTTCTGCTAACTAGTGTTGCGTGCTAACATTAGAAAGCCTTATTAATGTTACTTATATCTGAAAACACCTCGAGTTACTGCCTCCCCCATGCAGCGTAATGGAGGATTATGACAAGTTTGTGCAGCTTTGTCTTTCTCAACTGAGGAAAAATGAGGAAGAGGAGCAGAAACACAGCAAACCTTTATCTGCTTCTGTTATCCGCTTCTGTGGACGACCCATCCTTCCTCCTTTGGTATGACTAAAGTTATTTTTTTAAAACCAGGAATCATGTTTGGTCATCTCAAAACAATTACTGAAACACTTTCAAAGTTCCTGTTTGTGTAGATAGATAAACTGATGCTCTTTATGAAGTAAACACTTGTTTTTTCTCTGTAAACATATAGTTTGTAGAACATGGTTTAATAAAAAGACTTACTGGTTATGAAACTATAACAAGCTTCCTTGTTGGTATTGATGGCAGCTCTCAGAGAAGCAGAGAGAGGAGATGAGACGACACAGAGATGAAATGCAGAAAGCTACAGTCCATAAAAAGTTCTCAGGTGATCCCAGAATGGCCCGCGTGCAAACAATCCTGCACAGCGTCCAGGTAAATAAAGCTAAGACCTCCTCCACTCACAGTATACAAGCTGAAGTCTAACTGAATTTGTGTTTGCTTTCTGTGATTGTCTCTGATTATGAATCAGAAAAAAAATCTCATGTACTGTTGAGTCACTTGACGCATTGTTACGATGCTTAAAACCTTTATAAGTTTTTCTTTTTATGACACGTGTCAACATTTAAATAAAGAATTCTTCATTTACCAGAAAATAAAACAGTTTAGCAGAGATCGGGTGATACTGAACTAGAAATCTAGCTTTAATTGGAATAAAAACGTTACACTAAATTTTTATTGTACATGTATCATGTTATTTTAGTGTCTAAAACTGATACCAAAGATAAAAGAAAATCACAAACGCAGTGTTGTTTTTGAGGATTTTAAGTTGCAGAGCAGGAGAGAAACACATTTTTACTTTAACAGTAATTAAGGTAAAATTTACAACATAAAATGACCTCCGTTAGACAATTATGTATGGCGTTGAAAGTTTTCCAGACTACACAAAATGGTAAGTATTTGCATTAATATTTTTGAAGATTATAGCACCAAACAAAGCTTTCAAATCAGGAACCATAAGGTGAGCATTCATCAAGAAAAGAAGATTTTTCATTGGTTTTAAGATGTGTCACAAAGGTTCCTGTCTAAGAAACAGAAGAAACTACATCTTTTATTTTAGCAAAATACACGCACTTTGATAAATAAGAAGAAAAGCAGTTTAAAGTTAACACATGTTCAATAAATGGTCTTACATACAGGACATGAAGAAAATCAGAGCTGTTTGTGGAGGGTTTAGCTGTAAATGTTTCTCATGGACTATTTCACGGATACTGTTTATAGCGCTGCCTACGGAAGCAGCGTGCAATGGTTTGTGGGATTGTTTGGGGGCAAGTAAAAGAAAAGTAAATGATGGGACAGGTTATAAAAGTTTAAAGTTGTGATTGTTGCGCATTTTAACATGTTTATTTTGGTTCGTGAGGTACCGACTTCTAATCAGAAAAAGGATAAACTCGTCCAGGATTTTTACCTGCTCAGCTGTCTGAATTAGTGCCTAAAATAGTAACCTGGAGATACAAAATATACTGCTGTGTGCAACATTTACACTCTTAGTAATGTAGTAATTACTATAGTATGGCACTATATTAAATCTATTGCCAGAGAAAATCACAGTATAAAGTGATCTTATTAACTGCATGATGAGCAGTGGGACTGGGTGAAAAACATTTAATATAATCTTGAGGCAGGCTGACCTATGATTTATTAAATTCTGAGTATAAAACATCCTTCTTGGCCACACATCAAATTTGGCATAAATATTAATTAAAATACATGTTTTTGTTTAAGTGGTAAATGTATTTGTTATTGTGATCTGTAGCTTTCTGTATTGTGTATTTTATTGCTAATAAACCGTACACCATGTGGTCAAGTTTATTAGATAGTCCATACCTATATTTGTAATATAATGTAGTAAAAATGATTTGTAGTCAGGAAATGTGATTCATAGACCAGATTACTGTAAACCACATCAACATATTTAGCTCAAGATCTACTAGACCGAGTGGCGACAATCGCGTGTTTTCATTATTCTTTATATTCTTACTTGTTTTCATGTATCTGTGATCATTATTGCACACATACACAAGTAAAACACAGTACATCACCCATTTTCGTCATTTAATTCACACACCGGCACCGGATGCCACCAAACTGGACCATGATGCTTTGTGTTACGCAAAGATGGCGATACCCACGAAATAGTCCATTATGTTAGGATTTTTCTATTTAATGAAGAATTCTGTTCACATGTTCAAACATATTTCTCATATATCAAATCTCCGACTTTACTTTAAAACAAGAAACTTTTTGAAGAACAATTTTAAATTCAACAGACCATAAACGATGAAAAAGATTATAATGAAAATAAATTATAAACGGACTAAAAGTACAGTAGCTGGTGCATACCTATGATGTTTATTTGAATAAATCAAAACTAAATTTTTGTCTAACCTAACAGTTATTTCTGTGTCATTGCAGCTTAGAAAGACGCCAACACTTGAGGAGTTACTTGAAGAGTCGGAGATCAGGAATGAATTTTTACATCCCCGAAATATTAGCAAGGCCTCCCACAGTGAAGTTAATGTTGGAACCATGGAAACTCTTCCCCCAGCCTCTGGTGTTTTTACTCCCTCAAAGACTTCCACAACATATAGTGCCTTTTGTCCTGACGTGTCACCTCAGCAAAGCTGCCACGAAGAGTGCCTTAATGAGCAGCGTGACAGCCAACAGGAATCACAGCCAGGTTCCTTCAGTAGTGAAATCCACCCGTCTCCATCCTCAGGTTATATCACCAATGAAAACCCTGAAAACACCGTCTCCATATCTGAATGGACCGAAGGCTTTTTCCTTCAAAACACCTCAAATACAATTGCCAAAATGCCAGATATCATTAGCCACCCTCCCATAGATGGAGAGGAATTAGAAAGGAGTGGACTGGAGTCAGTCTTTTTGCAAGTTAAAGATATCGATGACGCCTCGTTTCACAATGATTCACTGACACGTGACCCTCAAAACAATGAACAGTTTGAAATTAGTCATCTGGAGAGCGTAGAGCATGAAGAACATATTCCCTTCTCTACAAAACCTGACTTTTCTGACTATGTCAATATGGAAAAAAATGAGGGATTAGTCACTTTGCCAGATAAAACTGTCTTTTCAGACAATCTAAACTTATCACAGAAATCATTTAAGCCTCCCAGTCTGACTTCAGAACCTCAGAAAAAACCCAGTGAAGCAGAACCAGAACCAGTAAACCAGATCAACAAATTAAGCACAAAGCAATCTGAGGAGCTCCATCCAATGAGCCTCCAGGCATTACTTAAGAAATCTCAGGAGTACCGTCGGCGCCAGCGGCTTCTTAGGAACCAAGCCAAAAACACTAAAATCCAGGAGAAGACCCAAGAGCAGCCAAAAGCCCGAATAGAGGAGCAGAGCCTCTCCGATAAGGAAAATGAGGACAAGGACACCGGGACTGCAGAGGACAAGAAAACCAAAGAACAGCGTGGCAATTTCATCCCCTCAGTGGAGAAAAATACGGCTGAGAGTGAAGCCTCTGAAGGAAGGTCCAAGGTGAAAAACGAGAGCATAACACAAAATGGAAACACCACAGAACTGATGAGCGCTGAGGAAGAAACAGCCTTAAAAAATAAACTGAACAGTTTTCAAGAGTTTATAACACAACCTAAAGAAAGCAGCAGTTTCATTCAGCAAAGACCCACATCAGCAGGAAGATACCAAGACACCTTTAACAGGATCTCGTGTCTTAAAGGTTCCCATAGAGGAGTTGGAAAATATTGCACTGTCCCAGTCCCTAACGTCTGTCTAAGTCCTGTTCACTTCAAAAGCAAAGACGGTCCCAAAGATGGACTGACTGTTGAAGAGGAGAAGACATCGATTGAAAATCCGGTCCTAAATCAAGCTAAAGCACTTTCCTCCACTGCAAATGTCATGACTGGAGATGACTTCACTGGTGTTTTTGCTCAAAGTTCCCTGCACATCGATCAACTGAGGTCCAGTCTGTCTTGTCTGAAAGTACTGATCTCAGACCTGGAGTCCACCATGAAAGAAAGCCTGGACAATCAAACTGAGAACAGTGTGCAAACTGAGTCAGGTTTTAAGAGCATGAAACAATCTGATCAGCTCGAGCAGAGGGATTGCTTTGGTGTGGAGGGGGAGCAGAGTGATGATGATGATGGTGGCAACAATGTGGATGGCAGGGATTTACAGAGAAGACAGTTAATTGATTTCCAAACCATTCATGAAGATCTTGAGTCTGAAGCTAGCTTTATCGGTACAGATGATGTGTGTCTCTCAGTTCAGGAGAGGGCACTTGAATTTGTTAAATTAAACCATGACAAAATATGCAAAACAGCAGCTACAGGAGGTAAAGAGAAATGTGCAAAAGGATTTGTTCAGAGGGATGCTTCCACGAGGCAGCCGTTCCCTACAAAAAGTCTGACATCTGTAGCTCAGTTGATGCTCGTCCCTGATATGTTCCGTAATGGTCTCTCTGAAAATACGCTTCCCTGGGACACTTCGATACTTTCCGATCAGAGTAACCGTCCTGAGTTGAAGGAGAGGGAGGCGACTGCTGAAGGGCAGCAGCGCTGCGTTCGCTCACCGTCTCTCAATCAGTCGTATGATGTGGAGATGCCATCTGGCCTTTGGCTCCTGGAAGGGTCGGGGTCTGACCCGGGCTCACAGAGTCATCTTGGTCCGGAGATGCATATGACTCCGGATAGTGGGGGCGAAGGACACAGAGGGGTGTCCAAGGTCAAACGGAGGCTGCTCATGCATTTAACAGACGAGACACAGGAAAAGAGCGCCAGTATGAGCGGAGCGGCAAGTGCTGTGGTCAGGCCAAACTCCAGTACCTGCAGAGGTAAAACCACAGCAAAGCGTCAGGCTGTCATATATGTGCGTAGTTTCTGTAGTAGCTTCGTCATTTGAGTTTGAATCCGTTTGTTCAGAGTTGATATGCATCGGTGATTTGTAAGGATGCATCGATTGCAGTTAAAGATTGACCAGAAAACAAAAATTGGTCTTCCTCACAGAACAAAAATCCACAAACAAAAATCGGTATAGGCCAAAATTAAGACCTGCCGTTTCCAATTTTGGCCTATACCGATTTTTATTTTTAAATAACTGACACCGTCAGGTTTTAAAAGTCAATGTTCTAATCTTATTTTATTGGAAACCATTGAACAGTACCCTTGAAACAATACAAACTTGTTTTAACTGGACAGCAGCCCTCTCTCACAGCAGAGCGACGGGGGGCAGTGGCTGATTTCCAGATCTTTGCAGAGGTAGATAAGATTGTTGGATAAGATCAGCTTCTCGTGTAAATACTGGCCGATCACCCAAATTTAAGGAAATTGGGGCAAATTTACCGCTGCACCCCTAGTGATTTCATTACTTTATTTTTAAACTGCTGTTAGGATTTTAACCATATTTATCTTTTTCCTGTACAGTCTTCTGAAAAAGTAAGCATTACAGACATTTTGAGGTCGATCATATCCCAGAATATTTTTAACATTTTCTACTTCTTTAAGAAGGTTTTATTAGTGAGTATGTCCAAAATAAGTGACAATGATTGACATTCATCATTCCACAGCACAAAAAGCTTTGTTTCAAAGACTCATAATTGATTCTGTGGGGAATAAAAATGTTTTCTCTGAAAATTCCCCCCTTTTTTGGGACCAAGTAGTTGATGGTTTTGCCATGTGTACAACCAATGTTCATCAAATAAGATTGTTGTTCTGCCAACAGATAAAATTATGTGTTTAACTGTTTATTATTGTTTGTTGTTAGCTGCAGTGCATTTGTATGAAGACATCAAAAAAGACGGGCAAGAACAACTAAAACAGGCCCATGCAACTCAGGTTCGAGCTCTGCAAGACAAACACAGAAAGCAGCAGGAAGAACTCCTTCAGGTGGGTGAATGTTATTAAGGTGACTGATCTATGAGTTTTTATGTTAGTGCTGCTTTGGTCCTAATCTCTGTAAGCTGCATGGAAATGGTTTATTTTTGGTAAGTTGTGCAGTTTCGTTCTTCCATAAGTGGTTTTGTGTGGGTACTTTGAGGAATTTTCTTTTTTTTATTAAAAGTATTCATAAGCAGTTAATATCTTATCTGCGGCAAACAATGGTCAGTGTGCGAGATATAAAACACCTACAGGATGCTAAGATCTAGTTCAGGGGTGCCCAACCAGTCGATCACGATCGTCCGGTCGATACTCGGCTGGTTCTCGGTCGAACATGGAGCGCAACCATGCCGGCTCGTCAGCTGTTAGCAAAAGCATACATACAGCAGACAGTATTGGGGAGGAAGTCTTCAAAATGTTTGGGGCGTTCTCAGTCTCGTCCTCTGTGTGGGAGAACGTAGGGAATGAAACTAGACACCACAAAGCGGTAACACAATGACCCCCGCATGCACAAATGCACCAGAACTGAGGGCACTGATTGGTGGGGCTGATGGATAGAGCTTCATCAGAGCTAAACAAAAGAAATCTGAAGCTAAGTTTTGTAACCTTAATTCTTTGCAGGTGTGCAGACAGATGTTGGATGTATTGTATTGTTTTCTTGATGTACATCTCACATATCATCAATTCTTTCTTTCACTTTTTTCCATTACATTGTAACTTTTCTTTCCTTTCTTTCGTTTTTCCTTTCTTTCTTCTTCTTTCTTGTCTATAAAAAACGCCTCTGATGATGAAGAAGCTAAGATACTAATATTCAGATATTTAGTACTGCTTTCTACTGAAGTGGTTAAAAAAAGGAATAAAGACTTCTGAGTTCTGGTGCATTTGTGCATGTGGGGGTCATTATGTTACCGCTTTGCTGTGTCTAGTTTCATTCCCTACGTCCTCCCACACTGAGGACAAGACTGAGAACGCCCCAAACATTTTGAAGCATTTTGAAGACTTCCTCCTGAATACTGTCTGCTGACTAGTTGCCACCAGTTTCAGAGCAGTGAGATACTGACTTTTGCAAAGAACCCATTTTAATTTGGATCACCAGACACTTCACTGCCTGTCCCAAAGTTACAAATTAAGGAATGTCCAAACATAAAACTTTTTAAAGAGAGGTATAAAGATTATTTTCAAAAGATATAGGGATGCTGAGTGTATCTGATGATTTTATTCTTTTTTTTTCTCAATATATGGAGATGTATGGGGCGGTGTATATGTGTGGATCTATATGTTCGTGTGTATACATATACACTGCATGTACACGTATACTTATGTTTATGAATATATTCTGGTATTGTATAATTTAGTAGCTAAACAGATTGTTGTTTTAGTCTTTGTGAAATTGTGACCAAAGAAGGATTTATTTATTTTTTAATAAGCTTTGGAGAAGGGTGGGATTAAATAAGTTTTTTTTACTTCTCATTCCTTTTCAAATATGTCAATGTTGTTATCACTTTTATCATTTTTTGTTCTGTTTTGTTTACTATACATGTTTGAAATAGACAGACAGACAGACAGACAGGGCTTTGTGGTCTGTCTCGGATTTTGTCCCATTGACGAAAGGCCGGGCTTTGTGGTCTCTCTCGGACTTTGTCCCATTGACGAAGGGCCGGGCTTTGTGGTCTCTCTCGGATTTTGTCCCATTGACGAAAGGCTGGGCTTTGTGGTCTGTCTCGGATTTTGTCCCATTGATGAAAGGCCGGGCTTTGTGGTCTCTCTCGGATTTTACCCCATTGACGAAAGGCTGGGCTTTGTGGTCTCTCTCGGATTTTGTCCCATTGACGAAGGGCCGGGCTTTGTGGTCTTTCTCCGATTTTGTCTCATTGACGAAGGGCCGGGCTTTGTGGTCTTTCTCCGATTTTGTCTCATTGATGAAAGGCCGGGCTTTGTGGTCTCTCTCGGATTTTGTCTCATTGACGAAGGGTCGGGCTTTGTGGTCTCTCTCGGATTTTGTCCCACTGACGAAAGGCCGGGCTTTGTGGTCTCTCTCAGATTTTGTCCCATTGACGAAGGGCCGGGCTTTGTGGTCTCTCTCCGATTTTGTTCCATTGACGAAGGGCCGGGCTTTGTGGTCTCTCTCCGATTTTGTTCCATTGACGAAGGGCCGGGCTTTGTGGTCTCTCTCCGATTTTGTCCCATTGATGAAAGGCCGGGCTTTGTGGTATTTCTTGGATTTTGTCCTGTTGCCGAAAGGCTGGGCTTTGTGGTTTTCTTGGATTTTGTCCCATTGCCCAAATGCCGGGCTTTGTGGTATTTTGGATTTTCTTCCATTGCCAAAAGGCCGGGCTTTGTGGTCTTTCTTGGATTTTCTTCCATTGCCGAAAGGTCGGGCTTTGTGGTATTTCTTGGATTTTGTCCCAATAACGAAAGGCCGGGCTTTGTGGTCTTTGGATTTTGTCCCATTGACGAAAGGCAGGGCTTTGTGGTCTTTCTTGGATTTTGTCCCATTGATGAAAGGCCGGACTTTGTGGTCTTTCTTGGGTTTTGTCCGGGCTTTGCGGTTTTTCTTGGATTTTGTCCCATTGACAAAAGGCCAGGCTTTGTGGTCTTTCTTAGATTTTCTTCCATTGCCAAAAGGCATAACTTTCAGGTTCGTTTTCTGTTGATTTTGTTTTCCTTCATTTGTCTTCCACTTGTCAACTTTTCTCATTTGTTTAGGCACTCACTGCACAATATGCTGTAACGCTCAGGTACAAGGACTGAGCGGAAAATGGGTGGAAAAAACAGCTGAAGTTTGAGGGGAAACTTGAAAAGCTTCTCATAGAGATCACTACAAAAGACTCTTGGAAGCAAAGTGTTGAAATTGAGGAGTAGTTTCAAGTTATTGCACAGTACTGTATGTATTTTATGCTAACACACAATTGAAAGGAAGAAAGATTTAGATATGGTGTTTATTTCATTCTAAACAAAAATAAGTAACGGAATAAAGAACTTGCTTTTGATTGCAAATAAATCAAACTATTTTCCTGTTTATAAAACTCTAAAACAACCAAACATTTAATGTGAAGCCAGATATAAAAACACAGGCTTCCTTTCACCCATTGGTCCTCTGCTTGCATTAGATTGCATCACTTATTGCCGTACAGATATTGTACTACGTAATTTCACAACGGCAGCCAGGTTTTTTTTCCCTGTTGTTTCTCTTCACCCAAAGTCACCTTTGAGGAGTTTCTAAATTAACATCGGCTGATACGTTTGTGTTGGGCTTTAATTAGTGTTGCAGCCTAATTCACTAAACTCTGACACGAAACTGACCGCAAGTGTTTTCTTTTGACTCTAAAAACAGCAGACTGGCATTTGCAAACAATTTCTCTCCCTACCTGTTAGAGTGTACTCCTGGGTCGTGGGCAGACTACAGACATCTGCTCATTACAGGAGACCTTCAGACTCTCCCCGTTAGGGGAAAAAAAAGGGGATCTACCATAAATGTTTCATTACATCCCTAAAAGAAGAGCTGGCGTGCATGTGTGTGTATGTGTGACCATGCAAGGCTTCAAGGACACCCGCTGTTCTCTGGCAACCTGTTCCTGATTCTTCAGCTCCTGTCTGTATTTGTTCTTGGCCAGCGTCCTTGGCCTGTTAATTACAGGCTCTGTTTAATTTATGTATCCTTAACAACAATATAATTATCATAAGCTGTTTAATAAAAAGACTTCTTTTTGACTCCCCTTTGTCCTTCCATCATTTGCGATGTGATGAGAGCGAGCGGGCTGGACTCTCCGGCAGAGGGAGGAGGGGGGAGCAAGGGAATTGACACAGAAAAGGAAAGGATAATTTGTTTAATTCATGAGCGTCTGTGGTTAAGTGCCAGATCGTCCCGCTGAGTGCCACCACTAATGATTCCTTCTTTTTTTTTTTTCTTTCTCCCTCTCCTCATTCTTCTCTTTGCTTAATTTTATACCAACATTGTTTTTTTTTCTGATGGTGTGTGTATTAATTTCCTGTCTCATCGTCTCTCGCCTCCGTCCCTCGTCTCCTCCTCGCCTCCCTCCTGTCTTCCTCTCTACCCTCAATTAATTTCTTCCTCCTGCCTCATTTGCTGTCCTTTCCAATTCAATATTTTCCACCCCTGTCCTCTCCCAAACGTACACACCTGTGCCTGCACACACACACACTTCGGCTCATATTTACTCCCTCTTCTCCTGTCTGCCCCTCTCTGTGTCTCAGGTTCTGGCAGCACGATACCGTCTCCTCCAGAATGTGTCTCCTCGCTCCACGTCAGGCTCTTGTCCTGGGGACACATTGACCTTCTCCGCCCTCTCCCAGGTATTACCATATTTGCTCCCAAATCGGTGATGCCAAAATATTGCCCTGCTCGCCCTTTTGTCAGCTCGATTTCTAATTCCAATCAGGAACGCTCCCCTAAATGTGTTTGTCTTTCTGTGATCCTAATCAGCGTCAATCATGTGTTATTGTGTCCTGATATTTTTAGCTCCCGTTAGACTTCATTTGCTTAACAAACAGGTCCGTTTAGCGTAGCAGCTCTTGAATCAACAAGTGAGCGACGGAACATCAGCTTCTTATTATTTTGCTTATTATTCTGTGTTATGACGAGGAGCTGCGAGTCCACTCGTGGTGATTCTCTAAACAGATGCCAACCAAAGAACCTTGAGAAGCTGTGCGGGAAATTAATTGGTTGTCATTGATGGAATTAGCATTCTCCTCTCTCTTCCCCTCTGGTTATCATCATTCACCCCTCTTGTCTCCATCAGCCCCTCCGCCCGCTCTCACGGCGCTGCCGCCCCCTGCTGGCCGCAGCCGTGAAGGGTTTTCTGACTCGTCGGCTGCTGAGGACCGAGCGAGTTGCTCAGCTGCTTCGCACCATCAGGGTGAGTAAAAACGGCACCATTTCACTGTCTTCATATGTTTTTGCCCGTGTCTTGGTGCGTGTGTGTTTGTGAAAGTCATAACAGTTTCTGTGAGCGTGACATCTCAACACCTCATGGTACATGAGATGATCTTAGTCTCTGGCCTTCCTCGTCAGTAATGTAATTAAGTGTTCTGAGTTCAGATTACAGCTCTGTGTGTGTGCGTTCATGTAGGACACGCAGCAGTTCCTGCAGGCGCAGGGCGCCGCCAGCAGAGAGTTCTGTAGCAGACAGGACGGCTTGCTGCAGGAGAGAGTCGCTCTGCAGGTGTGAAAGCAAACATGTGGCGTAAACACAGCTGTTAACGTCTGCCATTACACGCGTGTTCATTAAAAACCGTCGCCTGCTCCGTTTCATCTTCCCCTCCAGCTGCGCGCCGCACGTTACGAGGTTCACGACATATTCTTCAGCCTGTCAGCCGGAGAGCAGATGCAGCTGATCAGCTGGGACAGAGGCCTCGTCAAAGACAGAGAACTCAGACAACAGGTAACCTGACTCCACGCTGACTTCTCAACGTGCTCCGACTCCTGCTGTCAACATATTATTAGCTGCTCCAGGTGCAACGCAGTGAGATTCAGCACCATCTGGGTCCATATCAGACCCTACCTGGATTGTAATTAAAATGTCTAAAAACTTACCACATTCTTTGATTTTTCAACAAAAATTGTGTTTCAAGGTGTAGGTAATGGAACTGAAAACGGGCACCTTTTTTCGGTGTTATGTACTTTTAGCATTATTTAATATATTTGTTGTTGTTTTCACTTCATTTTTCTGAAGTACTTTAAAAATATTCTGTTTTTTGTGAAAATGTGCGAGCTGAAATTTGCTGAAGAAGCTTAAACTGCGTTGTTAAAACTTTAACAAGCAGCTAAACGTCAAACTCAACCTAAAAGTAGCTAATGGTTAGCTAAATGTAGAAAAAGGCTAAAGTAACACGCAGTTAAAAGTAACAAAAGACTGACTAAAAGCTAACAGTAGCTAAAAGCTAGCAGTTACAAAAACCAGAAGGCACAACGTATCTCTTTAATGAGCTCAAAGTTTTAATACATGAATAGATCATTTATTTGTGACAGGTAATCTCATTGTGCTAAAGTAACACAACGTAAGCAAAAGCAGTTTGATAATAAAACAGATGTTTGATTAAAGTTTAATTGAATACAGGACAACAGGTGTGAATTTTAAATCTATGTTCGCACAATTTATTCCAGGTTGTAAGACGACAAAATAGAAAACTTACCAAGAGAAGTGAATACTTCTGCAAGTCACTGTCAACAATTATTGTTGTTGTCAACACATGAGATGAGTTATCTAAAATTTTGTTGTAACCATATACAGTATATACAAAATGTTTTTTTTTTCCTAGGAATAGTTTCCAGGTGAGGACTTTAAATTGTGTGTGGATTATGAATTACGATGTGGATTATTCTGCAGACTGTGTTTTATGTGTGTTTTATGTGTGTGTGTGCTTTTTGTTAGAATGGACATTCAGGCTCTCCCAGGAGAAAGAGTTTTCTGTCAGCAGCAACACAAAAATCACTGGAAAGGAAGAGAGAAATGTTGTAAGCTTTTATTGCCTTCTTATACAAATATGTGCAGCTGCCTCGTACAAGTATTACAGTCTGCACAGAAGAAAAAATGTGATTAACACACATTTAAAAGCCTTTCATTTGCACCATTAATTCAGAGAATTTAAAATATTTTACCATACATTACCAAACGTTACAGAAAACACTCGTGTCAGCTACTAAAAAAAACCCATCTTTTTCTTTCCCTTCCAGGATTCAGAAAGGAGCTGCAGAACTACACAAGGGAGTTCTGACAAAAACTGGACAGAAGTCTGGATTCACAGCCAAGAAACCGCAGGAGACAAAACGAGGACAGTTCATAGCAAATCCTCAGAGAGTCCCAAAGAGCCGCTGCTCCTCCAGACCCCGATGATACGTCCCTAATTGGCCCCAGTGAGGACTCCTAACAAGGCCTCCAGTGAACTATAGGAAGAGAGTGAAGCATCCTCGAAGTCCTAAATGTAAAAGGACACAAATGAATCCTGTTGCTGATTAACTTCACGAACAGCTTCTCCACTGTCAGGAATTGCAAAACTACTTTTTTCATTTATACACATTATTTAAATAATCTGTTCCTTACATTTTCTACCATCTAGTAGTTACACATTGAAAATGTTAAAAAAGGAAAATGTTGACCTAGATTTTGTTCCCTTTTTTTATTATTATTTTAATTTTTTTTGTTTGTTTGTTTTACAGCAATCCAGGCTTGTTACTGCAGAATAAGCACAAATGTAGGAAATAAAGTTAAAACACTGCAATTTGTTGTAGAAAAGCACTTTTGGGGCAGTTTAGCTCATTGCTGTGGCTCACTGGGACGCTTAAAGGAAAATTTGCCTCATCTTTGTTTTTCCTGCTGTGCTGAGTCCACACATCTGTAGGAGAACTCAAGAATTACATAAATCACCTAACTGATGAGCACTCAGGTTCACAGCAATTAGCTGCACCAGTTTAGAGACATTTTATGTGCCTTTAACCAAAAACGGGCCATCTTCAAACATATTAGCACACTTTGACCTCTTTAGTTTTATTTACATTTTGTTTTGTCCTCAAACAAATGTTACTTTCTAGCTGCAGATGTTTAAAATTTGAAAATAATTTTTAGCCTACCGTTGCCTTAAAACGTGCTATTTTAGAATTACATTTACCCAAAAAATGTGTACACTTTTGTATTTTATTTCTCTTATGAAGGATTCAGTCTGTTATTTATTATCATTTGATTGTAGTTGGGAATAAAAGTTTCTTATGACAAAAACAGAATAAATTGACCAGCCAGTCACTGACCGTTTATACTAACAAATTCAGCTTTTGTGTGTTTGTGTGGACGGGTTTTTCCTACAACGTAGAGAAAATTTTCTCAAAAAAGCAGCCTCGTGAGGACCGATGCCAGGTCCGCACAGGTCCAAATGCAAATTATGGGTGGGGGGTTAGGTTTAGGACACCTGTGAGGTTAATTTTAGGGTAAATGGTCAGGGTTAGGATATAAAGTTTAAAAAAATAAAAGAATGGAAATCAATGCACGGTCACCATGGGGTTGAGGAACAAACGTGTGTGTGTGTGTGTATGTGTGTGTGTGTGTGTGTGTGTGTGTGTGTGTGTGTGTGTGTGTGTGTGTGTG